TACTTAACTCATTAAATATCGAAATTAGAAGAAAAGTGCACTATTTTTAATTATAGGAAATGCGTTTTTCTAAGGTACATAAACTTTTGGTATTGACTGTATAGCCAATACATTCTTAAGAGGATCTCACGCAGTTTTCCTCTCTCTATTTTTTAACGAGCGTTCCAACGATCGTCGTGCAGAAAGATTGAGTTGAAACGTAATGTAAAATTTCGCTCACCGTATCTCGCTTTTCTAAGAAAGTCAAGTTTAAGGGAACGTGGAATGAAATTGAATTCCTACGTTATTAAATTCTGTTTCTAATCATCTTGGAAATTGTTATTATGTTAAAATGTATCCCGTGTGGATTTAAAAGTCGCAATAGACTTTCTATCATTAATATTAGATTTTGTCTGTTATCATCGACGGATCGCGACGTGGCGGGGGCGTTCTGAAGGCGTTCTAACAGTTCTATTGAGAACAAGTCCGTATCGCGAAAATTACTTTTCCTCGTCACGAAGGCATTTCCGGCGCTCGGAATTTCATTTGAAACGCCTTGACGCCATGAAGTCACGCGTCAAGGGAATACATTTCGTTCCATTATCCTTGTAATTTCACTCGAACCGAGTCGCGACCAAAACGATTCCAAGGACCTTTCTCTTGGCTTTCTTCCTGCGTAAAAACGTGAAAATGTCAAAATGCAATAGTTCAGTCGAGATCAGAGAAAGTATTGTAGAACGTCGTAAAGCTACACTTTATTCGCAATTCGTCATTATTACCATAAATTGTAAATCATAGAAAAAATTTCTAAAAAGGAAAATCGAATGCATGAGAAAGCCGCGTATTAATTATTAAGTCATCGTTTTGTCTTTTTGTTAATTTCCATTGACGTCACACGCATAATATCGTGCAGTTGCAAGTTCAATTTTTTATCTTTTCCTAAAGGCGCGCGTGACGACGAAAAACGTGAAAAATGACTCGTAAACGGCCATTGTCCAAAACAGTATCCAATTTTTTATGTGAAACGCACTGGATCTCGTTCCCTCGTGCTAATTGTGGATCGAGTACGACACGGAGCTATAGGATTTTTCCCTCGCGGAATTTACATTTTATTTTACAAGAAACATAAACTCACCGTAAATCGTGTACGCCCTTTCTTCCATTTTTTATTTCTCCCCTTTCCTTTTATTTCTTTCGTATTTTCTTTTGTCATGCGGAGCCCGGTTTCTATCGACTCTGACCCACCACCCGGCGCGGCAGCATTTCGCGTAATTCCTTGAAAATTATTCTACGGAACAACAATGGAATTTTATATGCAAGTAAAATGAAGCAACTGAATACGCATTAATTCGTGTGCCATTGCGTGGTATTTTCGCCACGCAAAAAGCCCCGTTTCGTTGCGAATCATTTATTTCTTAACCCTTTAAGCGGACTACCTCGCCCGGGCTTGCATTTTTTATGATGTTTGTTTTTCAGTTTTGTTATCCAGAAAACAAATGTTACCCGGGAAAACGGGTCGCATTATCGTTAGAACGAGCAGCGCGTGTGTACCGTCGAAAGCCCGTTGTCGACGATTCCCACACACGTTAAGCGTCGAATCGTCCGATTTTTCACGAACGGAAACGTGACCGAACTCGGCCGAAACGATTCAGCCAATCGCGAAACAGTCGAATTTGATTGCCGGTTACAGAAAGAACAGTCGGATATTGCGCTTTTCCCTGGAAATAATTGCTCAGTTAAAGCGTTAATCGTTTCATATATCAAACAAATTCCCGTCAAAAGGAACCTCGAATATCCTGGGTAAAGCTCTCTGAAAATTTTCATTGCAACATTGATCACTCCGCGCGCGCACCGTAAATCGTTTTTAATCAAAACCGGGCATCAAATATCCTATTCTTCCCGACGGAAAAAATAAAAATATTAATTCGTTGACTATGGCCACCTTTCCGATCGCGAATGAATTTAAACGAAAATCCCAACGTAAAGAGTTAATTACGCCGAACAAAAGAATATAAATCGTCGTGACGGAAGCCGGGCAACAGTGGCAGTTACATCGGCCGTGAAAAAAGAACTGCGTCCGTTTTATATATATTAAACGTAATGTACAGAAATTCAATAGCAGGAATAATTGAAAATGTCGTACTTTAATAATATGTTAAGCAACGCAAAAAAACAAATCAGAAACAATGTCAGCTGTCAGCTTTTGTGTCGTCTACAGAGAAAAGTGTTGTTTCCGAGAACCTGCGTGCCCAGCGTTCAACGGGGCAATAAACCTATCGACGATCGTAAGTAAAAGGAGGAAAACCTCGAGTTAAGATAGTTTGTGCCGCACAAGGGCCCGTCAGCTGTTCTTAAACAGAGATACGCTCCACTACGTGGAGGCGCGTACTACTAGGCGCGTGGAGCGTGAAATCATTTGTAATGCGTGGACTTTCGCTGGCGGAGGAACGTCGAGGATGCGCGGAGTACTGGCCGGTGGCAAAGGAATCGACGGTAACCTCGTCGGGAAAACATCTGGAAGCGTTTCGCGGATCCGAACCGGGTGCGGTATCGCGGATAGCGGGGGAAGTATGGTCCCCGTGGCGGAAAGCTCGCGGAACTCTCAGGTACGAAAAGAGTGTCTGGCTCGCGGCCCCGCCCAGTCAATAGCCTGAATATTTAATGTTAGAAGTTCCGTATTGATTTTCGCGATTTTTACGTCTCCGCAAATAAGGCCGTAAAAGACCTTACGCCGCGCCGCCGTCCCGTGTCTAAGTTTCCCTCCTTCTCGCACCGGTAGCCGGTGCGCGCGGAACACACGTACACATGCACGGATGCTACATAGCGGAGGATAAAAAGAGAGAAAGACGCGCGTTACTTTTCAGTGCCAGCTATATAACGCTTTTTATTATGCCGGGCCGCTTTTATGGGGAAATACTGCGATGAAAAAAGGAGGAAGACGTCGAGACGCGCGGGGAAGGAAGGAAAGGGCAGAAGAAGAAAGAAATTGCACTGCCCGGGTTTCATATCGAGTCATTACGATCCCCGGGCACTTTCAACCCCCCTGCCCTCCCCCTCGCCACAGCTTCTCCGCTTCCTCCCCGTCGCCACGACGTCGAACCCGCGCCTACCCACCCCAGCCCGTTGCAGAGAGAGACCCCCGTCGTCCTCCCGCGGATTGCCAACCCGTCCACCCACGCCCGGCCACCCCGCATCCCATACCCCCTCGCCGCCCCCGCGACGTCTTCTCTGACATTAAACTTTTTATCGTGCATAACGGGGTGCTTCGTCTTTCGCCGAGTATAAAAAAAAGGAGAATGGAAGAAAATAGCAATAAAAAAATGGGAGAGGAAGAGGAGGGGTAGGGTGAGTGCCGGGGATAGTGGTGGGACACGCGGAAGAGGAGAAAGGAGGAGGACGAAAGGAGGATATAAATGGACGGGGCCGATGGTGAGCGACCCCTTCCTCGGAGACGGGGGTGCGCCGCGTCGAATTTGTCGATTCGCCGGTTTTCTCTCCCCGGCGTAAAAGCTTGGCAGACGCAATCGATTGTACCTACGTGTGCACACCCCGTTGGGGGTGACGGCGGTACCGAACAGAGAGGGGCTAGCAAAAGGAACACGGAACGATGGGCGACGTATAGTTGTTGTTGTTAACGCTGCTTTACGGTTATTTATTGATACGCGCGCGCGCGGCCTCGATGGCTCGTTGCAATAACGCCACGTCGACGTCGACGTTGTCTCTTCTGATTTTTGATCCCTCTGGTCGTTTTGCGTTCGTCATACACGCGTCATGTGTGCACGAATATCCTATACTTCTTTTGAGAGAGTCAAAATTAGTATCGTCGATCACGATTAACGGAACCATTTCTTCTTGGTCGACATTCAGTTTTGAACGTGA